TGCCAGCTGTTAGGAAAAAAAATGTAGCACTAATGTTCAGCAATCTGACATTTTCCAGCCTCACATGGCCTCCAGGACTGCAGTAAGGTAGGTTCCTCCTATGTAGAAACCTGCCCACTCTGATTCAAGTGGCAGAAGCCATACCACCTAAGCCGGGAGAACTTCAAAGCGGGAGAAGGACTAGATGTTACCTGTCAGCGATGACAGCAATTCTTTAGGCTACACAACAGAACAAAAATTAAAATCAAAATAGAAACAGGTTGTACAGTTATTTCAATTAATTCATTCACTGGAAGGTGCAATACGTTAAAATGATTTAAGCATTTCCAAAATTCTAGGGCCACCCAACAGATACAGGTGTGGATGGCTTTTGTCAAGACTTTATGAGCCAGAGTTTCTGCTTTAAAAAAGTAAAATAAAACAAAAATGACCACTGTAACAGTGCAGTACTTTTATTACAATCCCGTCTCGCCAAAAAAACCCCAAACAGGAGTGCTGCACCATTTGAGAGACTTGAGGGAGGTAGTGATTTTGAACATTTAAATACAGATTTTTCCTCCAACACTCTGGTTTTTAACAAAACTGGACCGTAATCACTTGACTAAATGCAGTGTCCCTTCTTAAACCACACCAATAGTATTAACTTCTTTTTTTTAGGGATACAGTGAGGAAACAGTCTCAAGATCATCAGCAAAATAAATACCGGCTCTGAAACAGTCATCTCCCCATCTGTACTAAAATACTTTGGTGATGGTCAGCAGTATAATATTAAGACAGGTACCATAAGCATCTGAAAGGACAAAGGCATTATAAGTTAAGTTCCTGTTCCGCTATTTTGATTTCTCCCGATTTGAGAAAGGTACTATTCTGAGGAGGAAAGTAAGCTGGAGGAACACAGACAGGATAACCTTTTGGAAACTAAGGAAGCAGATGGAAAAAGCCAAGCTGGCTTCTCACTTGGCTTCCCCTTTCATGAAGGCAAATCTGAAGGGAAACTGTCAGCTGTCCAAAGCTACTGCACTCCTGCTTTGGGCTAGAAAGGAAGACCTAGGCTTATTATGGAACACAAAAATTAAACTGTTGACCCTCTTCCATCTGTTGACCATGATGCAGATTTCCCATAACTGAACCACGATACCTGGAAACTGGCTCCAGAAGATAAAACTTGCTGCTCATACCAGGTAGGACAAAAACTTTTTTTAAATATATAGTCTCATACTTCTGCAACCCAATTTGTTCAGAGCTGAGATGACCTAACCACCAAAAGAGTCATCTCCCCTGGAGGAGGAGAGGAGGAACAAACAAGAACTCGGGAACACCATGGACAACAGTGTCCAAGTTACTGTTTGCAAGAGACCCTTGTTAGCCCATGATTACGCACACATTTTGGGGAAGTAAAGAACAAAAGCCTTGCGGCTACAACTAACTAGTCTGTCATCTGTCTGACCACCCTGTGTCCAAAACCCGCAGAGCCCTCAGTTGTCTAGCAGGGCTCCTGTTTTCCCACCCACAGATCTTTAGGCTGACTCAGTTCATAAAAGAGGTCTTGGGGAGAGGGGGAGGGAGTCCACAGCACAGGGGGAAGAGGGAAATGACACAAATGTGAAATCCACTGACAAAGGGACAGATATCTCCAAAGTCTTCCAGCAGCAAACAGTCCCTGTGCAGATTCAGCAAGGCAAAGCTACCACTCCTTTTGCCCAACAGTCATGTGGTCTCTTGGCATGGAAAGGAATTTTGCAAGATAACATGCCTCAAATAAGCATTTCCAATTCTCCAATCCTCAGGCATTCAGCACACTGATCTAGTGTCCAAGGACATGCCCTTCCCTCCTCTGAATCCTGGCCCACCGTGGAGGTCACATAAACAGGAAAGAAAAGGGCAGAGCCAGTGCTCATGACTTTTCCTAAAAGGTATCACATATATCCCAAGTAAGTCTCAGACACAGAAGAGGTCTAAGTGGCAGCTTTTTTGGGCAAGCTCTGGGAAGAGAGGATAAAAAACGCTGGTACGTTTTAGCAGCCAGGAAGAACTCCAAGATCCACTCAAGAAGTTCATGGACCACAGAAAAAACAAGATAACTTGCCCTTTATATCATCTGCCCATCATATGCCTTTAATCAGCTCTCATATCCTTTTTCTTGTAGAAATGTTTGGGTACCATTACTTCCACGTGAACAGCTTCTGGTCCAACCCCAAGAAAAGGCAGAGAGGTCTGCTCAAATGCTTCCCTCCCTCCACATCTCGTCCTGCAGGCACTGCTATTCCCCTTCCATCTTGTTACTACTGGATTTGGTAGCTATGCTCTGTGGAGCCAGTAATATCTGGCCTCCAGTAAACCCAGAGGGACCAAGACTAGACAGTGGGAATCCAATTATAAATAAATCAAATAGTTTTTGATCTACCAAAAGAAATCTGGCCTGGTAAGAAAATAAAATTAACTAAAGATAGGTAGACAGGGTTAATTAAAATGCTCCCCTCTGCACTAGCAGAGCTAATCTGATACTTGACTCAAACTCTTTGTGCGCTCTAGGGGAAAGGATGGGAACATGCTCCCAAGAACTGCATAGGTCCTAGCTGCAACAAAAGTACCTGTCACCCACAAAGTCACAGCTGAGGTTTAGTTAGCTGGATGGAATCATTTATCTTATCCTACCTACCAGCATCTTTGAGCATTTGCTCTTTAAACTGATCAAAAACATCCCAGACATAAAATAAACCACTATGCTTAAACCCATGTAGGGCTCTGAATGTTCTGTGGCATCAGTAACAGATCTTAAGTGATTAACCATATCAGAATTTCCTAATGTGACTCACTCCTGCAGATTCACTAGCAACAAAGCAGAAGCTCACGACATCTTTGGCAGCAAAAGATTTAATACTTGATAGATAAAAGTATTAAAAAAAATGGTGGATGGCAGGGGATTCAGCCTCAAATAAAGCTTGTTAAGTCTAATTGAAAGAGGGAAAATTTAGGATTCTTTACTGCTATTTTAGTAAAAGAATTAAATCAACCACATGCATTTGTAGCTAAATACATATTAAGGCCATGTCATAATAGTTCACTTATAGCTGAGCACTTCCTGCCTAATGACATAAATGGGTCAGCCAAGAGTAATCCATATCTTCTTTCTGAAAGCAGAAATAGATTTACTATGACAAAGCTCAAATTGCAGACTCCGGTTAGGAAGACACACTGATGCTCATTTCCTTTTGGAACAGAGACTGCCCTTGAGTGAAGGAACATAGTGTGATACACCCAAATAAGCCAGGCTGAATACTGTTACTAGGCAGTGCTAAATAGAAAGAGATGACCACAGAACTGGAGCATAACATTTAAGTTAGGCATCTACAAATAGCCACCTTTTGTGCTCAATACTCAGATTACAAGCCACAACTTGGGTTTCTGAGGATAGAAGAGCCAGATCCTGGAGACTAACAGCATCCAAACAGCTAAGGCAGATAGAGAGGTCCCTACAGGAAACTTAAGATACAACATAGGAGTAGGGGTGCACCGATAGAGATTTTTTGGGCTGATACTGATGGCTGATTTTTAAGGAGGCATATTGGCTGATACCGATCTGGTTTCCAATACACAGCCTAGCATCTTAAAGAGCAGCGTCCAGCTGGTAAGTTTGTTGTGATG